ATTTACCCTTTTTATGTGTACAGTTATATGAATTTTTACAGCCATATAACTATCACAATCATGATAGAGAACATGCTCATCACTCTAAAAAGTTCTCTTCTGCCCATTTATTCATTCCATCCCCTTACCACCAGGCCCTGGCAACTGCTGATCTGTTTTCTGTCCCTGGAGTTTTGTCTATTCTGTAATGTTATATAAATGGAGTCATACACTGAGTACCCTTTTAAGGCTGTATTTTTTCACTTATAATAATGTATTTGAGATTTGTTCATGGTATTGTATGCATGTTCATTCCTTTTTATTGCTGAGTACGATTCCATTATATCCATTCACTAGTTGATGGACATTTGGGTTGGATCTAGTTTTTGGCAATTATGAATAAAGCCAACAGAAACATTTGCATACAAGATTTTGTATGGATATACCTGTTTTCAGTTTTCTTGGGCAAATACCTAGGAAACAGATTGTTGGGCCATGTACTACTACAATAAATGTATAATTGACTGTATAAGAAACTGGCAAACTGTTTTCTAAAGTAGCTGTACTTTTTTTTTTTTTTTTTTCATTTCCACTAGCAGTGTATTGGAGTTGCAGGTGCTTTGCATCCTTGCCAGCACTTAGTATCATCAGTTTTGCTTTTTAATTTTAATGATTCTAATGGGCTAGGATTTTAGTTTTATTTCCTAATTAATTTAATTTCTAATATGTATTCCTAAAGACTGAATGATGTCAAGCATCCTTCCCTGTGCTTAATTACCATTTATGTCTTCTTGGGTGAAGTGTCTGCCCAAATCTTTTGCCTGTTTAATTTTTTTATTAACAAATGGGTTGTTTGTTTTCTTACACTTGAGTCATGAAAATTTTTTAGATGTTCTGGGTACTAGTCCTTTTGCAAGCATTTTCTCCTAGCTATCGCTTGTTTGTTTATTTCTTACAGTGTCGTCAAAGAAAAATGTTTAATTGTGATGAAGTTCAGTTTGTCATATTTTCCTTTTATGTTTTTTATTATTTTCTTTTTATTTATTTTAATTCCTCACTCGAGGATATTTTTCTATTTATCATCAGATAGAGTGGGAAGGAGGGAGGGAGAGAGACAGAAACATTGATATGAGAGAGACACATCAACTGGTTGCCTCCCACATGACCCGGCCAGGACTGGGGACGAACTGCAACTGAGGTTTGTGCCCTTGACCGGAATCAAACCCGGAACTCATTGGCCCACGGGCCAGTGCTCTAACTGGTGAGACAAATGGGCCAGGGCTTTTTATTATTTTCTATTGCTATATAACAAATTACCACAAACAGTGGCTTAGAACAGCATAACTTTATCTCACAGTTTCCATGGGTCTGGGATCCAAGTTAGCTGTATCCTCTGCTGAAGGTCACACCAAACTGAAATCAAGGTTCTGGCTGGGTCACATTGCTTTTTGGAGCTCACTGTCCTCTTCCAAGCTCATGTGTTTGGCTGAATCCAGTTCCTTATCATTGTAGGACATAGATTCCTATTTTCTTATCAGTCATCAGGTAGGGGCTGTTTTCAGCTCTTAGAGGCTGCTCACTATTTCCTGCTACGTAGCCTTCTCCACAGCATGGCAGTTGGCTTCTCCAAGGATAGCAAGAGAGCATCTGCCACAGCTTTGGATCTCTCTGACTTCTCTTGTCTCTGACCTCTAAACCTTTGTTTAAAAGAGCTAACCAGAGTAGGTTAGGCCCACTCACACTCAAGGAGAAGAGCTGTATACGAGGTGTGCACACTAGGAGGAGGGAAATTTGGGGGCCAACTTAGGATTCTTCCTACCACATGATTTGTACGTTTTTGTTTCTAAGAAATCTTTGCCTGCCCCAGTGTTGCGAAGATTTTTCCAAATTCTTTTAGGTTAATAGTTTTACCTTTTCAATTTAGATCTGTGGTCCATTGTATGTATGTACTTGTATGTGTGCATTTATTTACGTAAGATATAATTCACATACTAAATGTGTACAATTCCATAGTTTATTGTATAGTACAAAATGGTGCATCTACTGCCACTCTCAAATTCTAGAACATCGTCATCACAGATAATAAATTCTAGAAGAGAAACTCTGAATTCATTAAGCAGTCACTCCCCCTTTTCACTTTCCCCAACTTGGCAACCAGTAATTTACTTTCTGTCTCTATGGATTTACTGATCCTGGACATTTTCTGTCAAAGTAATCATGTATTGTGTGCTCTTTTGTGTCTGGCTTCTTCACTAATCATGTTTGCATTGTTCATTCATGTTGTCCCATATATCAGCACTTCATTCCTTTTTATGTTGAATAATATCCAATTGTATAGATATACCACATTTTGTTTTTCTCTTCATCAACTGATGGACATTGGGTTGTTTCTACTTTTTGGCCATTATGAATAATGCTGCTATGGACATTTCCTTTTTATTTTTTAATTTAAATTTTATTTTTCAATTATAGTTTACATTAAGTATTATTTTGTATTAGTTTCAGTTGTATTGCATAGTGATTAGACAGTTATACTTGACTAAGTGTTCCCCTGGATATTTCTAATACCTACCTGGCATCTTCCATACTTATTACAATATTATTAACTATATTCCCTATTGCTGCATTCATTTTATTTATATTTATTTATTTTAATCCTTATCTGAGAATATGTTTTTATTGATTTCAGAGAGAGAGGAAGGGAGAGGGATAGAATAAGAGAAACATTGATGTGAGAGAGAAACATCTATTGGTTGCCTCCTGTACGCACCCTGACCAGGGATCAAACTCACAACCTGGGTATGTGCCCTGACTGGGAATGGAACCCACAACCCTTTGGTGCACAAGATGAAACTTTAACCAACTGAGCCACACTGGCAAGGGCTATTTACTTATTTTTTATTTATTTATATTTAAAAAGCCTTGCGAGTGTGGCTTACTTGTTGAGCGTCGACCATGCACCAGTTTGATTCTCACAGGACACATGCCCAGGTGTGGGCCCGATCCCCAGTGAGGGGCATGCAGGAGGCCGCCAGCCAGTGTTCTCTCTCATTGATATTTCTACCTCTCTCTTTATCCCTTCTTCTCTCTCTAAAAATCAATAAAGAAAAAAAATTAAAAAAAAAAAAAAGACTCAGGGCTAATCTGGTATAGAAGGACATGGGGCCACATGCCAGCAGGGCCAGGATCCTGCCCCAAGCACAGAAGCGGGGTGGGCAGAGGTCTGTGCCACCCTGTGCTTGGCCCAGGGAAAGAGCCTTGGGAGTCTTTGGGAACTTTGTCCCCCAGGGCCAGTGCAGCCAGGAGGAGCAGGCCAGTGCCAGCAGACTGTGTTCTTGCTCGAGAGCCCGGGGATCCTGCCTGCAGTCACTGACTGATCACAGCGAGGGCTATTTATTTGTTTTAAATTTTTTGTTCTTTATTGATTTTAGAGAGAGAAGAAGGGAGAGGGAGAGAGATAGAAACATCAATGAGAGAGAACAGTGATTGGCCACCTCCTACACGACCCCCTCCAGGGATTGGGCCCACAACCTGGGCATATGCCCTGACTGGGAACCAAACTGGCGACCTCTTGGTGCGTGGGTCAACGCTTAACCACTGAGCCACACCAGCCGGGCAAGGGCTATTTACTTTTAACTGAACTGTTTGAGACAAAGTACCGACATCATGGTCTTTTACCCCTAAATTCTTCAGGATGCCTCTCCCAAATACAAGGACATCCTTTTCCATAACCACAGTGCAGTTATCACATTTAGAAAATTTATCATTGATATATTACTGTTATCTAATATACAATCCATATTCAGATTTCACTGATTTAGTGATTTTTAATATCTTAAATAAATACCAATTATTTTATTTAGATGAAATTCACATAACATAAAATTAACTGTTTAAAATAAATAACTCATTGGCATTCATAGAATCAAGTGGGACGTGTTCCCTCTTCTGTTTTTCTGGCATTCATTTTTCTTTAAATGTTTGGTAGACTTCTCTAGTGAAACCTTCTTGGCCAGGAAATATCCTTCTCAGAAGCCTTTTTAAATTGTGGATTCTGTTCGTTAAGTGGTTTCAAGTGTGTTTGAGTTGTCTATTTCATCTTAGTTGACTTTTGGCAGTTTGTGTTTTTTAGGAATTGGTCCATTTCTTGTAAGTTGTTCCATTTATGACTACAGAGTTGTTTGTAGTGTCCCTTATTACCCTTTAATGGCTGAAGTGATGCATCATTTCACTTCTGATATTAGTGACATATGTCTTCTCTCTTTTTATCTTTGTTAGTCTTCCTGGATGTTTATCTATTTTATTGATTTTTATGGCACAGGATGTGGTCTTTCTTGGATATAAATGTTCAATGAGCACTTGAAAAAAATGCAATTTTGCTGCTGTTGGGTGAAGTGTCCTCTCTCATACACATATACAGGGTGGGCAAAAGTAGGTTTACAGTTGTGAGTACATGAAGCACAGAGAAGAAAAATTTTATAGGGAACTTATGTTTAAGATAGAGCTTGAAAGATAAATAGGATTCTTAATAGGCACAAAAGGATAACACAGTGGAAGACTCCAGTACAGGGATTGGCAAACTATAGCCTCTCAAGCTGACTACCTGTTTTTGTGAATGAAGTTTGATTGGAATACAGCCATGCCATGTATGTCCTGTCTATGAGTGTTTTCATGCTATAGTGGCAGAGCCAAGACAGACAATATGGTCTGCAGAGCCTAAAATATTTACCAACTGGTCCTTTACAGAAAGTTTGCTGCTCCCTGCAAGTAGATAAGTTGTAAGTGGGAAAGCATTATTGATAATTATTAAAAATGAAAATGAGATTTTTTTTATAGTTAGAGGGGGAAGTCAATAATAGAAAGGTAGGTGGTTAAAGAGGAGGTTTGCTTTGAAGGACTATGATAGGAGACCATTATTAATAGAGAGGACGTGAAAGGTCTTTCCTGGATGGGACCCTAGTTCAATAAGGGGCAGATGTGGCTTGTTCTTAATCATGCTTTTCTAATCTTTCCCTTTCTAGCCAAGAAGGATCAAGAAGGTGGAGAAGAAAAGAAATCTGTGCAAAAGAAAAAAGTGAAAGAATTAAAGGTGTTGGATTCAAAGACGGCCCAGAATCTTTGTGAGTAACTCTGTGATCTGAACTACTTGAAAAGTGAAGGATTTCTTCTAAGAGTTTAATTCTGGTGGATCCAGAGTCCCTTGATATGAAACTTCGATTTGTTGAGTTCCTGCTGTATGCCAGGCATTGCCTAGTGAATATTCTATCTCATTTAATCCCTTTAATGGCATTGCAAGATTGTTCATGTATAGATTTATGGCAAGAAATTGAGGCTAAAACTTTGAGGAATTTGCCTAGTTGCCTATCTAGGGATTTAAACCTTGGATTTTCATATTTCAAAGCCCTTACTGTTTTCCACTGCATCCACAGACAATCTACCACAAATGTTCTAGCTACTGTACATTTCCCTTTTTCTTACTTTCTTTTATGTATTTCCTCTTAAATGCAGGTACTGGCTTGACTTCAATTAAATCTAAAAGAACTTTGTGGTTTAGGATAAATAAAGTAAATCCTGGACTTCTCAGAGTAGGATCAGTCACTCCAAACAGTTCTGTTATGAACTTGCTATATTATACTTTATACTTATAACTGGTGGCAGAATTTCAGTCCAGAAGCTCCTCGGCATAGTTGATATACGTAGTATTTATTTGATGATCAGAATATATGTTCATTTTTTGTTCATTTCAACTCTTGATCTCCCTAAGACTATAGATTTAAATATTTGCTCAACAAATATTTGCGGGTCTGCCATATTTCAGCTCTATTAGGCACATACTAGGCATGTGTTCCAGAGATGAAAGGGTACGTAGTCCATACAACCCACTCTCAGTCTTGTGGTGTAGCTGTTGTCCTCATTTTTCCAAATGAGAAAACTAAAGTTCAGCTGTTGTGACTTGGCCTAGGTCACACAAAGTAAAGTCAGTGATACAGTGAGAACAGTAAGCCTTTACATTGTTCTTGGCTATATAATCTTACATCATTGTGAAGATTATGGAAGTTACCCAAGGGGTTTTAATCAGGAAAGTGAATGATACAACCCTATGTGATTTTTTGGGAAGGTTTCTTTAGCAGTGATTTTGAGGCTGCAGTGCTGGGGGAGGGGAAGACTAGGCAGAGGTGAGTTATGTTATTGCTTTAAAACTAGGTCAGAGGGGATCAGGGCCTGGAACTAAAGTAGTAAAAATGAATAGGAAGGTAGAAGATAAGATAGAATGAATGGAACTTAGTGATTGACTGAGGGGATAAAGGAGATATTTTCTTAGGTTTAGATCACTCCATAGAGGATGGTACAATTTACTGAAATGGGAAAATCCAGCAGAAGCTGTTCTGTCTTTTGTAGGAGAAGTGGTAGGTAATGGACATGATGAGAGATGGCAGGGTGGTGGGTGGAAATGATTAACTTAATTTTAGGGTAGAATGTAAGGTGCCTGTGGGACTCTTCTAAAAGGATGTGTATATTAGGCATTTGGGCATAGAAATCAGGAGGAAGGTCTGACTGGAGATAGGAATTTAGGAGATAGCATATGACTCATAACTGAAGCCATGATTTTGCTTTGAAGGCCATTAATATGTAAGGGACAGTTAATAAAAGAACAAGGCCTCAAAAAAAGGGGGGCTGGAAAGGAGCAGCAAGAAATATGTTAATGAGCCCGGCCGGTGTGGCTCAGTGGTTGAGCATCGACCCATACACCAAGAGGTCGCCAGTTTGATTCCCGGTCAGGGCACATGCCCAGGTTGTGGGCCTGATCCCCAGTGGGGGGCATGCAGTAGGCAGCCAATCAATGTTCTCTCTCATCGACATTTCTGTCTCTCTCTACCTCTCCCTTTCTTTCTCTTTCTAAAATCAATACAGACAAAAATAATTTAAAAAAGAAATATGTTATGAAATAGTCCTAAGAAGTGGGAGTAGTCCACAATATCAGATGAAGACATGAATCAGGACAGGTCAGGACAGTATCTTTTGGATCTGGCATCAGGAAAGTCAGTAGGCAAGGCAAGAATAATTGCCATATAGCATAGGAGTTAACTGAGGCTCTGAAATTCATTGTATTTAAATTCTGGCTCCAACCTTTACTAGCAGTGGGACTTTGGATAGGTAGCTTAACTTCTTGATGTATTACTATCCTTTTTTTGTCAAATGGGGCTAAGAATACAAACTTACAGGGATATTAAGAATGGGGTTATGCCCAGTCGGTGTGGCTCAGTGGATTGAGGGTTGTCCCATGGACTGAGAGGTCTCAGTTCGATCCCCAGTAGGGGGCATGCAGGAGGCAGCTAATCAATGTTTCTCTCTCTTTCTCCCTTCCTCTCTCTCTAAAAAATCAATACAGACATTAAAAAAAAGAGAAAAGAATGGGTTTAAATGAGATATATGTCAATTGTATTTAAGGTACTGTTTTTCACATGGAGTGGACATTCAGTAAACTGTTGTCATCTTTTCATTGACTTTGTAAGGACAGAAAATAAATGAGCTATGGAAGTGAGAGACAATAGACTTTATATTTTACAATGTTATAAAATGAAGGAAAGCCTGGTCTGTGTAGCTCAGTGGTTGAGCGTCAACCCATGCATCAAGAGGTCGCTGGTTCAATTCCCAGTCAGGGCACATGCCCAGGTTGTGGGCCAAATCCCCAGTGAGGGGCACGCAGGAGGTGGCCAGTCGATGTTCTTTCTCATTGATATTTCTATCTCTCCCCCTCTCTCTCTCATCAATAAAGAAAATAAAATTATAAAATAAAGTGAAGGAGAGAAAGAAGTTGGTAATTAGAGAAGAATATTGGGTCAGGGAGTTGTTTTTTAAGCTAGGAGAAACGTGTGTGTGTGTGTGTGTGTATATCCTGAGGGAAAGGTCCTTAGGGTCACCTGTTCTATTGAAACATGAGGAAAGGATGAGTACATTGGGTATAGCTGCTGATAAGCTTGCAGAAGTGTTGGCACAAGTTTTTTTCTAGATGATTTCAAAATAGTCCTTATCCATGCCTTTTCTTGCCTGGCTCCATCTGATGGCCCCTGATGCTCAGTTTGTAAGTGGCATAAGAGAAAGCTGAGCAAGTGATTTCATCAGTGGCTTCAATTTTTTCAGTTAAGAGACGCAAGGTCTTCTTAGAACAGATGCAGAAAGGGTGGGACAGTTGGGAAAATAGGCATATTTTGGTGGAGCTGCAAAGACAGCCAGGAGAGCATGGACTAGGGACACTGGAAAGAATACTAGGCTGCACTGAGGCCCCAGCTGTCATTGGTGCCATCACAAATGCATGGGTTCTGTTCCACAGTGTGTACTAGCATGTTCATCAGCCCAGGTATAAGAATAGAGAAATCAGGAAACAAGAGAACAGAAATAGGGGTAATAGAAATGGGAATATAGTAGAAACTGAAGTGATAGACTATGGAGTCTAGGTTAAATAGAGAAGGCAAAGTGGAATTGATACATTCAGAGAAAGTGGAATGATCAGTCCTCTTCAGAGAGAGAAAGAGACAAAGGGAGGGGGAGAGAGAGCGAGAGAGCGAGCACGTGAGCTCCCATTTAGAGATTAGTGAGTGAGAGAGCTAGAAGGATAGGAAGTGTTTGTTAGGAAATGGGATGTGGCAGTTGAGAATCAGAGCATTTCTAGGCAACGGTGGCTTTGAGAGTCATGAGAGTGGGCAACTAAAATAGAGTGGGGCGGACGTCTTTGATATATATAGATAGAGAAGATCAAAGACTTTCTGGGAGCAAAGGCAGGAGTCATGGTGTTTGTTGAATGTGATGTTTGGAACAACAGGGCTGCTATGTGATATCAGTGTAGGGATCAGTGAGTGAGATCGCTGGGAGGTAGGAACCTTCAACACTGGATGGACTCAGGAACTTGGATTTTAACAATGTAATTGTGGAGCTGGTGGAGGTTTCTGATAGTGACTTTAAAAGAACGCTCTCTGTTAAAAAAAAATTGCCCAGCAAAGGATTGTAGGGTGGGCTGGAAGGAGGAAGAGACTGAAAACGTCTTTCCATCTCATTTTCTGGCAGCTATCTTTCTGGGCTCCTTCCGCATGCCCTATCAAGAGATTAAGAATGTGATCCTGGAGGTGAATGAGGCTGTTCTGACTGAGTCTATGATCCAGGTAAGGAGCTAGCTGTTTGCATCACTCTGCACTTGCCTCATCTTCTCTCTGCTTAGAGGATGAGGATCCTCTGGCATTGTTGACTTAAAGAACGCTGGCTTTGGGTAAGCTTCCATCTCTGGCGGTCAGGTTGTTTCTGGGTTATTTTTCAAAAGTCCTGCCACCTCACTAGCAGCCTTACCCCGCAGCCGCCATGCCCGTGTTTCCTTCTTAGTGGTCCTTGGGCACAGTGAGGGCCTGACAGGAGGCTCAAGTTGTGATCTCATTCCCCTCAAACTGAGACAGTCCCTTCTCCCTTTCAGAACCTCATTAAGCAGATGCCAGAGCCAGAGCAGTTGAAGATGCTGTCCGAGCTGAAGGACGAGTATGATGATCTGGCGGAGTCGGAGCAGTTTGGCGTAGTGGTGAGTGAGGCCTGTGGCGGCAGCTCCTCTCCACCCCCTCACCCTCTCAGGCACTTGCTTCTGGCCTCTTGTCTGTTTTGAACCTATCTTTCTCTGTCTCTTCTCTCGACTCTGGAACTCCAATCATCCCAAAGGCGACTCAAGCCTGTAGCTTTTTCCTACTTTGCTGTGTTTGCTGGCCATAATGGAGCTGCTTGTCTGCCCCCAGATGGGCACTGTGCCCCGCCTGCGGCCTCGCCTCAACGCCATCCTCTTCAGGCTGCAGTTCAGCGAGCAGGTGGAGAACATCAAGCCAGAGATCGTTTCTGTGACTGCCGCGTGTGAGGAGGTGCGGAAGAGCGAGAGCTTCAAGAACCTTTTGGAGATTACCTTGCTTGTCGGAAACTTTATGAATGCTGGTTCCAGGAATGCTGGGGCTTTCGGCTTCAACATCAGCTTCCTCTGTAAGGTGAGCCAGAGGGTCAGAGCAGACGACAGAAGGGAAGGCTGCTGACCTCTGTGAGCACAATGTGGCAAACTTGTGGCCTGACGTGACCCAGGGCATGTCAGGACTAACAATTTCTCCTCTTCCCCAAGCTTCGAGACACCAAGTCCACAGATCAGAAGATGACCTTGTTGCACTTCTTAGCTGAGTTGTGTGAGAATGACTATCCTGATGTCCTCAAGTTTCCAGATGAACTTGCCCACGTGGAGAAAGCCAGCCGAGGTGGGCAGGGTGGGGGAAGCGAGAAGACATTTCCAGGCCCCACATATCTCTGCATGAGAAGGGAAATAAGAGTCTAGATTTTAGATTATTTTCAGTTCAGACTATGTAAGTAGAAATGAGAGAAGGTATAGACATGATGTCTAAACCACAAGGGAGGAATATTAGGTAGAAGAGAGGTCCTCATATACAGAAGTGGGAAACACCAACCACAACTGGAAAAAAGGCAGGTGTTTTTAGTCTAGAGCAATGGTCATCCTCATTCAGAAAACATAGACTGGATTAGATTAACAAAAACCAGGCCTCACCATCCTGGAATTAGGCAAACAATAAACAGCATTCAGTAGAAATGGGAACAGATTTCTTTCCTGCTTCTATATTTTTGTGTATGTCTCCTTCTTCCAAACCCTGTTCTCTAAAATAAATGAAACCAGGATCCCAGGGGATTTCATAGATTTTTGTTGAATTAAATGAAGCCTCTCTCTGCTCTGTACAGGACAGCTTGGAGAGGGAAGCCGGGGGCTCAGTCATCAAGTAATTTATAGTCTCCCTGGAAAGATGTGAGAAGCAACTAGAGAGTATATAAGAGAAATAAAATAATTAAGTACCAGCTGTATTCAGAGACTGGAGTTGTGCCCTAAAGGGCGGAAACTGAAGGTCTAAAGACAAAATTTAGTAAGCTCTTCCTGTCTGTTTTTGTTTCTTTTAGTTTCTGCTGAAAACTTGCAAAAGAATCTGGATCAGATGAAGAAACAGATTTCTGATGTGGAACGTGATGTCCAGAATTTCCCAGCTGCCACAGATGAGAAAGATAAGTTTGTTGAAAAAATGACTATATCCTTTCTTGAAAGGAGGGAGTTGCCCCCTAGGAAAGGATAGAATTTTTGAGGGGTGGGGCAGGGGGGTAATTTTTTCCTCTTAAAATTTTTTTTTATTAAATATATAGAATTTATAGTTGTTTTTTTTTTTTAAAGCATTGCATTGTTATGGAAGGAGAAGCAAACCATGCAAATAAGCTAAAAGTCCTCCTTGATCCCTTCCCCTCCATCTGTCTACACACACACACACACACACACACATACGTGCATAGGTATTCCCTCCCCACTGCCCTTCCCAAAGGTAATCACTGTCACTGGACTTCTTTCTGATTTGTACCTCATGAATTTATTTTATTTAGAAATTGCATTGTGTGCATTGTATTGCTTTTTGCCCATAATCTGTCTTAGCCCTGTTTCTACAGCACTGTATGCAGAACAGCCTCTTTTTTAACTCCCACCTCCTATTCTATAGATGTATGTAGTTGATGGTTTACCATGCCCCCTATTTGGGATATATAGATTGCTTTTGGCTTTTGCCTCAAAATAAATAGTGCTGTATTGAACATTCTTGTGCACGCCAACACATACCTTTGAGTCTTCCTCTGGGTGGGAAAGTGGGCCTGCTTCTTGGCATTGGTCCTTGACTCCATGGCTGCACAGCTTTGTGAAGGATGCACAGGAACAGTATAACAAGCTGCGGATGATGCACTCCAACATGGAGAACCTCTATAAGGAGCTGGGCGAGTACTTCCTCTTTGACCCCAAGAAGGTGTCTGTGGAAGAATTCTTCATGGATTTGCACAACTTTAAGAATATGTTTGTGGTGAGCAAGGAATATCTGCTGACTGACTCTCTTGAGAACATTTTTCACTTTCCACTGGGTTAATACTGGGTGGTGGATGGTGTGCATGTGTGTGAGTGCATCCGTGCCCGTGTGTTTGTTTCCTCCACAGCAAGCAGTCAAGGAGAACCAGAAGCGGCGGGAGACAGAGGAAAAGATGCGGCGAGCAAAACTAGCCAAGGAGAAGGCAGAGAAGGAACGGCTGGAGAAGCAGCAGAAGAGAGAGCAACTCATAGACATGAATGCAGGTAAGAAGTGGAGGAGAAAGCAACATTTGGAAGGCTTCTCTGTCTTGAATCTGGAGGCCAGAGAGAATAGCTCATGTCTGAGCTCAGCTGCTGGCAAGTAATTGTTGGCAGCCTTCTCTCTCCAACATCCTGATGCTGGACTTTCACCCCGACTTAGTTACATGCACAGGCCAGTTCTCCATGCTCAAGTCCTCTTCTCTCCTTTGCTGGTTCCTGCATTATGTCTCATCTCCCCAGTGACTTAGTATTGCTATAACACATACTCTTTTCCTTCTGCCTGTCCAAAGTGCCTCTGGCCTACTTTCATACCCTTTACTAAGTCTTTTGTTCTTTCCTCCACAATGTTTTCCTGGCCCTGCTTCTGTCTTTTAGTGGTGGCTTACCCTCCTTTTCTGCTTATTTCACTATGTACTGTGCCCCGAGTATTTCAACACAATCATGTACACCTTTCAGATTGTAAATGGATTAAACTTCTGGAAAGGGGGCAGGGGAGCTGACCACTTCTTCTTTCTTCAGCAGAGTTCTGTTTTACTACCAGAAGCATGTCTTTGTTGAAACATATGGCCTCAATTACTGGCCCTCTGGTTCTTGTCTCCGCTTCTTTCCTACTGCTGGTTCCCTGCCCCCTCTGGCTGCCCCAGCGGAAATACAGCATACACTGTGCACGGCACTGAGCTGATGCCGTCCTTCTGAACCTGAGAGGCTACGAGCCATCTACGTGAAGGGGTTCCAGGGCTCTGGTTTTGGCAAGAATGAGAGTGCTTTGCTGAGCACAAGAGGAAACGGTTGCTCTAACACCTCTTGCTCCAGGGACTTGCTTTGGCATTTCCTGTTGTGGTAATATCAGGGACCTGAAGCAGCAGGAACAGCCTATGTTTCATCTTTTCTTTAACTTTTCTGGGAAGCAGTTGCCTGCTCTTACCCCAGTTGTGTATAAGCCACAAACTATTCTAGTAATACTATTTAAGCCCACAGCAAATATTTTTCACCTTCTTCCATTCTCCTCAGGCCCCTAGGTTTGCCCCCAGGTACTGTCTAAGATGCAGTAGGGAAAGGTGGAGTCATCAGGTGACACAGTTGACCTTGTCCTGACCCTGGGATGCCCAGGGCAAGCAAATGAGGTTGGAATGTAGGTCAGCTGTATTGGTGATGTTCAGCCAGCAGGTGGCGCTCGGAGCAGTGCGCCCAGCCTAGTAACTGGCAGCCTCCGGGCTCCAAGGGATTTTGCAGTTTCAGATTTCACCACCCTGAGCTGTTACCATGGAAACAGAGCCAGGCTGGAACAAGGATTCTACATTAACTCTTTGTATTCTGGCCAGGATATGCTTCTCTTAGATGCCTAGCTGGCTTCAGGACGATGCAGCCACTGGGGGCAGTACTTCAGTGAAACGTATTCTTGATCAGTTCTCTCATCTTTTCTCCACCCTGCTCTGAAACTGGAACCAGGTGCTGCAGGAAAGGTTTATGTAAATTGGAGTGAAACACATTAGGATAAAGAGAGAGTGATATAGTTCCTTGCTAATTTCATAATCCCCGTCTTTGTTGGTGCCCTGGTCTTGGAGTTGGGCAGTTCTGCAATTCACTTTGCTCGTCCTGATTGGGATGGGAAGGAGAGGGTGTCACAGGAAAATATCCCCAGGTTTACAGTGGCTAGTAGGCAATAAAACCTTTTGTTTAAACCATTTTCAAACAGACACAAGTAAACGTGGGCTGAGGCTTGAGGCTGAGCCCTCTGTCTGCTCTGAGCCCCAGCCGTCGTGGGTGAGGGGAAGCCAAGCAGACACCATGCATTTTGTGTGTGGCTCAGCACATGCACGCTGCTTGGGCTAAAGAGCTTACATCTCCATCTCTGTTCATGACAGAAGGTGATGAAACCGGTGTGATGGACAGTCTTCTGGAAGCCCTGCAGTCAGGCGCAGCATTCCGACGGAAGAGAGGACCCCGTCAGGGTAAGTAAGCAAATGGAGCCCTCCCCCTGGTGAAGGGTGCGGCCTCTTTACTCCTGGTCCTGTTTGTGTTGGCTGAAGGGCTGATGCTCTGAGGGTTTAGAAACTTCCCCCAACAGTCCCTGCATCTGGAGTGGTTGATGTAGTCCTCTTCCTCTCGTGTTGGAAAGTACTGACCTGGAGAACTAGGGCTTGAGGGACTGACGGCAGATCACTTACATTTGCTTATTCTTGCATTTGTCCCTGTCCTTGAAGCAGTAACCTGGAGCCAGCAAACCATGGCGCCAGACACACAGATTTGGGTGGGTGTTTTGAGTGTATGAACAAAATTGACCCAAATACAAAACTACATTAGATGTAGGAAATACAAAGGAAAAATAAGTGAGGAGTCCTTACTCTCAACTTCGCAAGCAGAAGAGATAGAGAATAAGAAGTATAAAATCCTATAGAGAAGGTTAGGCATCGTTATCCCCAGATATAGAGGGGGCCTCTCAATGGCAGGATTGTGCTGTGTCCGAGAACTGCCTTTTCCATGGGTGCAGTTAGCTCCCACTGCCCTGGCCTTCCCCATTTGCTCCCCTGCAGTCTTCTCTCCCGACCGTCAGAGGATGTAAGAGGATTACGCTGAGCCAGAGCCGCTAAGAAGAATTATGGGGATAGGAGGACAAGTGATCCAGGCATTAGTATGAGGAAGGATCAGCGGAGAAGTTTCCTTTGAAGGAAGTGTACAGTGGCCTACAGATAGTCCAGAAGAAGATGCAGCCAAGGCTACCCCTCATGTACAATTGACCTGCACCATTGTGTCAGTGAAGTCCCCTTGGGACTAGGAGTGCTGGCTTCTCTCCTAGGTTGAAGGGCGGGATTCCAGAAAAGATGTCGGTAAGGGTTTCTCCTCCTGAGGGAGGTAGAGCTGTGTGCCCTGTTCCCTGGCTGGTACGTTTGATGTGAACTTTGAGTTTGTTGTAAAGAGAAGGAGTTGTGTAGTTTGCTTTGGCCAGTGCTTAGCTATTAACGCAGTGGTGTCTGTAGGACTTGTAGTACCTGGAAGGTACTGACATGACCTGGAAGGGGACCTGAGGATCAAGGTTACAGAGTGTAAACTCAGTGTCCTGGCCCAAATGTTGCAGGTTACTGTGTGTTTCATTTGTAATGACCAACTGCCTGTTTCTACCCACACTGGGAATATTCAGAGGGAAATTCCCTACTGTGACATCAGAACTTCCCTACACAGGAGGATCTCTAGCCGTGACTCTTACCCATGTTCGGGCATCCTCTGAGTACAGGCTCCCTAGAGGGGAAGAGAAGGGAATCAGATGGGACAGACCGTTGAATCTTATAGATCAGTGGTTGGATAGAGAATGCAGCTGGTGGTGTCTCTTTTGTGTTTAGTCTTTAAAGGTTCTGTGACATGGTTTCCCGCCCACCATATAAGGTGAGGTGGCCTTCCATTGAGCATTTCTAGCCCAATGAAAACACATTGCATCTCACTGTCTTCCTCTGTCCTCTCAGCTAAGTGCCAGCCTGCTCAGACTTCGGCGGGGAATTCCCTTTTAAGCCTCTTCCTGTGGAACTGTGCTAGAATCCCAGATGCTTCCTGTACACAGGCAGCGAGACATCAGTGGCTCCCCTCTGCTGGGGAGGCCCATCGCCACTCTTCCCAAGTGGAAAACAGGACTCCCAGGTGGAGGAAGCAGGGATTTATTGGAACCCAACTTTTCAGCAGAGGACCTGAGTTAGTCAAGTACTGTTTCCCAGTGCAAGAAGGAATAGGAGACTTACAATAGGTGATATTGATGCAAAAAGAAGGGGAAACTAAGAACTACATACTTTTCAAATTGGCCCCATCCTGTAACCTTACCTTTCTGGGCTCTGGGTTTACTGAACACATCTGAATATATCTGGGAGTCTCTCTCGTGGGAGACATTTCTGGTTACTCTGCTAAGCTCTTCAGACCTTGGTGCATTCACATCATATAAAGTAATGTGTCCTTACATTAAATGTAGATAGAAGGCATCAAAGTAGAGTGCAAAGAGCATAGGACTGAGATCAAAAGACCCCAAGTCCAGCCCAACACTGACGCTGTCTAGGTTACCTTAGCTTTCTGGGGCTCTGTTTTTCATGTGTAAAATGACAGTTGGACTAAAACGGACACGAGTGTCCTATTAATATCTTTTAATACAGTGAGAGTAGGATTAAGATAACAAGAAAGATTGGATCCAGAAACCCCATTCTCAAACGATAAAGGCTCTGGTGGCTGTGGGTTTCCCTGGGTGGCTACTAGACCTAGCTGGTACTTGGCTGTCTCCAACTGTTCCTCCGGCTAATTGCTTTGAGCCAGAAAACGAGCATCATCGAGCAGATCTGCCTCACAGCCTTCCTCAGTTGCAGAGAGGCAGCTGTCCCTATTCAAAGAAGGGCACTAGCCTTCTCCCTAGGATTTAAAGGAATGTTACAAAAAAATCTTTGATCTCTGGAGACCTGAGGGAGTGACCAGTATACAAAGACCCATTGATCAGTTGGAAGAGGAGAGTTACTATCAGGGCTGGCTCATTAAAAGTGACATGTACACTGCTGGGATCTGCAGGGTGTGGGAGAACAGTGGTTTGAGTGTCAAGGGGAAGAATCTATGTGATTGTGTTACTGCTACTATTTCAGGCTGGTGATTGAGTCTGCTTGGGGTTTTAATGACTCAACTTTATCTCCATGGCTGAATTGTAGCCTCTTATACAGGCCATCTGCTCATGGGATAAAAGTTAAGGGAAGAAAGAAATTCATCTCCCTTTCCTTCCCTCTGCTACTTCCCTCCTCCCTGATGACTCCCCCTACACTAACAGAGCCTTAGAGTTGGGAAAGACTCTACAGCCCTCTAGGGATCAGCACCTAACCTTCTCGTAGGGGAAGGAACGAAGACCCAGTAAGGTCTTGCCCAGGTCTGCAGAGCTGGCTAATGGTAGAGCCAGACTGTAGCCCACTTTTGTAAAGCCAGGTCCAGGGCTACTTCCACGAAGCCTACATGACTGGACAGTAGGTGACAGTGACCCTTTTGTGTAGGCAGACATATTCTTTCATACCTTCCAGCAAGGAGAGCCCTAGACATGGTGACATTGTTCCAGGGAGTTTCCTGATGACCACCTGTCTGTAGAAGGTTAAGAGTATTTCCTATTTGACTACTTATTCTCCCTCCGCTTTTGTGAAAATAGGACAGGGATTATAATTAGGAGACATTAGACAATAATGAGTTCTTTCGGATGGTAATGATTGTCCCATCTGCCCTAGTTACCTCTTCCCTAAGGAAGCTTATTAACAAGAGCACTTCCTCTTTAGTAATAGTTCCAGCCGGTGTTTTATAAATCTCTTTCCAAACCATTAACCTTTTTCTGATTCATCTGTTTTAGTGTTACATGGTTGATTTTGCTGGTGTTTTTATTCCAGCCCACCCCTAACTTCTGGGAATCTGGCCCCAGCTTTGACCAATGTCTCAATAGTCTGTGGGACTGTACTCTTATGACTTAATCATCCTCCCTGATCCCATGGAGTCAAAATGTGTATCTGCTTCTGGAGCTACTTTTCAGTAGTCTTAACAAGTACCCAAATTAGGGAAAAGGGGGAGAGGTCAGTTTTTCTAGATAGTTCAAGCTACTTAGCTTACCTGTGGTCCTGAAGACACAGTGGAGGCTGGGATTCCTCGGCTGTTTCCAGATCCCACGAGAGCTCTCATTCCCGATGCTGACCGTGGGCCATTTGTGTCCATCCCTAGTGTACCTCCCCTCTAGGCTTAAAAGGGAAGTTTTGGTCTTCTCCCCACCTGCCATCCACTCCGAATTTTTATGAAATCTGTAATGCACCAGACACCTTTCGAATCTAGAAAAATCTAGAAACACCGCTTGAGTGTGTACAACTAGTATCGTCTTAGTTTAGAGCAGCAGTTTTCAACCTGTGGGTCATGACCCCTTTGGGGGTCGAACGACCCTTTCACGGGTCGCCTAAGACATAACATTAGCAAAATTACAGTTATGAAGTAGCAGTGAACATAATTTTATGGTTGGGGGTCACCACAACATGAGGAACTGTATTTTTTTTTTTTTTATCCTCACCCAAGGACATTTTTCCACTTTTTTGTTCAGACAGAGTGGGAGGAAGAGAGAGAGAGAAACATTGATGTGAAAGAGACACATCGAATGGCTGCCACCCGCACAACCCAACCAGGGCCAGGGACAAACTGCAACCGAGGTATGTGCCCTTAGCAGGAACCGAACCCGGGTCTTTCTGGACCACAGGCCATCGCTCTAACCGCTGAGCCAAACCGGCCAGGGCATGAGGAACTGTGCTAAAGGGTTACGGCATTAGGAAGGTTGAGAACCACTGGTTTAGAGGAAGAAACTAAAGAGAGAAGAGGCTTAGACATGTGCCACTTGAACTCTGATGTCTCCCTTGTTGCTGAGGACAGGTGTCCCTAAAGGCCATTTTTACACACACACACACACAATTACAGATTTTCTTAACTGCTGGAGAGTACAGTCAAAGGAACAGTAAAATGACATCATTGCTTTTCCAGACATGAGAAGTAGGGATGTAAGATGGGAGTATTTCAGAAAAGAGTGGAAATGAAGTGGGTCTCAGTTTGCTAGAGAGACTAAGAAGGAAGACAGGAGAAGCGTATACATAGAGACCATGCCAGTACACATCTGTCCCTCCCTGTCAGCCACGGAGGCTGTACTTTATGTTCCTAATCCAAGGAGTGGTTCCTGTGAACACCCCAAAGTCGAGGTCGCACACTTTCCACCTGTAACCAGAGGGGCGTCTTGTCTGTCAGCCAGGGCCTTCACTATTCTTTTTCCTTCTGTTAGACAACCCCCTGTGCCCCTGGGAGGAGGAGGAGGAGGAGGAAGAGACCTGTACATTGGTAACCTGTGGGCATGCTGTGTGCTCCCTGCTAACCTGTAGGTAGCCTTTGCCGTGTGCACACAGTGACGCTCACTGGGTCATGTATCTGCAGAGAAGCTAACTGCCCTGGTGATGACTTGGGCCCTTTAACCCTGTTTGGCTTCTGCACTCCCTAAAGCTTTTCGCTGGTCGAAAGTAGGCAAAGCTGTTCTGAGTGCTGTGTTCACAGGCTCCTCTGGACCCCTGCCTCCCAGCAGGCCGCAGCTGCCTGCTTTTGGAAGTAGTTAGGCGTGAAGTCTTCACTGGAGAGCCGGCTCATCTGTCCCTGCTCCTTTAAGACTTAGGCACTGCTTTCTCCACCCAGCTTTCCCATGACCCAGCAAGCTCTTCTTCTTTTTTTTTTAAATTGAGATATAAACCACATGCCTAAAATCTACCCCTTTAAAATATACAATTTAATGTTTTGTTTTGTTTTTATCCTCACCCGAGGACATTTTTGCATTTATCTTCAGATAGAGCGGGGCGGGGAGAGGTGGGGGAGAGAGAAATATCAATGTGCAAGAGACACACTGAATGGTTGCCACCCACACGACCCCAACTGGGGCCGGGGACAAATTGCAACCGAGGTACGTGCCCTTAGCGGGAACCAGACCCGGGTCTCTCTGGTCTGTGGGCCAACGCTCTAACTGCTGAGCCAAACTGGCCAGGGCAATTCAGTGCTTTTTAGCATGTTCACAAGGTTGTGCAACCATCACCACTATCTAAATTCCAAAACATTCTTGTCTCCCTGAAAGGAAACTCCATATCTAGCAGCAGCCACGCCTCGTTCTCCCTCCCCCAGCCCCTGGCAGTGGCTAATCTACTTTCTTCCTCTGGATTTGCCCATTTCAGACTGTATAGAAATGGGATTATAGCTTCTTCAGCCCTTGGTGTTTGCTTCCTTCACTGCAGCAGGCAGCTCTTTGCGGCCTGTCCATGTTGCTCCCAGGGTGTGGGGATAGCAGACAGCATGAGATGCACATGGTCCCAAGGAACTGCCTTCTTGTGCAGGGTACTGGGGCTGTGACTGTGGTTCCATTACTGGATCTGAGGGCCTGGGGACGGCCTCTGACAGTTAGAACAGAAACTCATGGGTTGATTGGTTCTTCTCTTTCTGTTTAGGATGACAGCTGGAGCTTCACAATCCCTTAGCCACCAGCTGAGATTTCTTTTTTTTTTTTTTTTTGTATATGCCCCTAACAGAAACCGAACCTGGGACTCTCTGGTCCACAGGCCGACGCTCCAAGTGCTGAGCCAAACTGGCCAGGGCCAGCTGAGATTTCTTTGTAGGGGACCCCCTGGCCATCCTTGACCCTATGTCTGCCTTCCTTGACTTACCTTTCGTTACCCTATTACCCCTCCCCCAACACACACACACACACACACACACACACACACACCCATGCAGGACCCTTGGCATTCCCTTTGGCACTCATATCACAGTTGCTACCCTTGAGGAAGTGGGAGAGAGCGAGGTGTGTGGGCACGTGGGGAGAGGGAGGGAGGGTCGGTGAGATACATGGCAGTGTGACATGCACCTGATACGGCATGTGGCTCCTCTCTGCAGGAGTCCCCCTGGCCACCTGCTGAAGGCCTTCCTCTGCTTGGGACAACCCTCCCAGGGCTGACCGAAAGTGGCTTTGGCCTAATTGCTTCCTGGGAACTGCCAACAAAACAAGAATAATACTGTTTACTGAGCTTGAGGCTATTTCATTCCAACAACATTATGATGAGAAAACCGATTTTGAGTATAAGTTACATAGCTAGCACCTGAACCCTGTTCTGTCGGTCTAGCTGTATTCAAACCTGTGTACTATTCCACAGGGAAGCAAGAGCGCGGCTTGCTCTCCTGCCTGCACCTTACTCGTCTTCTCTACACCCCGCCCATGGCTATAATTTTTGTCTTCTTAGACCTCTGCCTCCTTCAAAATAAAGGCCTCTGTGAACCGGACAGGGCAGCCACGTTTGCATGGCGTCTGGCTAAATGTCTGCCCTGGAGTTCAGAGGGGCTTTCTGTGGATGAAACTGCTTATGTCTCTCCTGCAGCCAACAGGAAGGCCGGGTGTGCCGTCACATCTCTGCTAGCCTCAGAGCTGACCAAGGATGATGCCATGACTGCTGTCCCTTCCAAGGTGACCAAGACCAGTGATGGAGTTCCCACAATCCTGGAGGAGACCAAGGAGTTGGTTGGCCGTGCAAGCTAATCTGGGACCTGTGGCCGTGGCAGCTCCTCAGTGGAGCCCAGACTGTCCTGCCCTGCAGCCTGTGCCTAAAGGGTCATGGAGATATCCCTGTGGGGTGGCCTGTCCCATCGCCCTGACCCTGCCTTTCTCTCTGGCCTGCTGCTCTCTGTACGTCTCTGTACACAGCTTCAGCTGCCTGGAGGCCAGAAGGAAAGGGCCGTATGGGGGAGGCCTGAGCCCAACCCAGCCAGCCCTGGCTGTTGCATTACCAAAGCAGGCTCCGTGTTCGCTGCCTTAACCCCAAGTGTCTCCTCTGTTACTCTGAGGCCTGTCTCAGACAAGGCCCTGCCTGCTTATCAGCCCCTGGCTCTCCAGTGGGCTTCCCATAGGTCAACTTGCTGGGTTTGTGCTTTTCTTTTGTGGTTTCTCTGGCCCTGAGAACAGCATGGGGCTTGTGAACTTTTGGGCTATACCCCACCTTTCACTGCTGTCACCTCTGCTCTGCTCCTCCTGGCTGTTGTTATTTATTACTGGTGGTGTGGCATTGGAAGCTGCCTCTTAAGGAAGTGGGGAGCAAGTCCCAGCCTTACTCCACCTACCTGAGAAAGGCCTCCCAAAACAAAAAGGACCTGGGCCGCTTTTATCTGTTCCATTGTGGCGCAGGCCAGAGCCTGTGGGCAGGCGGGCAGGGCATAGAGACATCGTGGGACCTGCCCCAGCCTGCTGCCATGCGCTGTGCCCTCGCCTCTTCGGACCCTCTGCACCAGCCCCAGGCCACTGAGCCATGGCCCCTGTTGTGCCCTCCCCAGAGCTTTGGTGCATCTCATCTGGAGTACCGGCTGTATTGTGACCATCCCAACACCTTACCCTCTGTCTCCAAGGAAATGGGAGGTGGAGCCTCCTGGCTGAGAAATTGTTTTGCAAATGGATCTATTTTTGTATGAGATTTTTTTTTTTTTTTAAAGAAAAATAACTCTTCCTTCCCTCTTCTCCATAATGTAAGAGTCTTTGATGGCAGGTTCCAGAGTCCTTGGGATTTCTCCCCACCGGCCTCAATTCTGAACAGGCCCCATGGACCTCCGCCTCAGCCCTCAAGCCTTCTGGGCCCTTGAGGCCAGTACAGGTTCTCTCCCAGCCTCCAGTTCTGGCAGAGGAGGAAGCTCTTCTCGGGTTGAGCTGAACCAGGCCTGAGAGTAGTGGGGGCTTTGAGATCACAGAGTTTTTATAAATGTAATATATTTATCAAGCCAAATGTGCAGATGCTAACTGGACACTCTGGGGAAGTGGGCAGAGGAGTGCCCCGCCCCCATTTGTACCCCTGCTCCCTTCTGAACAGTGGGCAGGCCAAACTGTTCGGTGGCTCCAGCCACAGGACGCTCAGACTCTCTCGAGGTGACACTGTGCCCACCCTGTGCTCCTTCATCTTCCCACCCCGGTAGGGAGAGGGCGCACTGGTAAGGCCTCGCCCGGATTACCGTTGTTAGCGCCGCGGGAGTCGCGGGGAGACGGAGGGCACTTGTGTGGAGGCGTTGAGCAGGAAGAAGGGTTCTGGTTGCTAGAGCCTGTGTGAGGGGCAACAGCAGCTCTTGAGTTACTCTCCGGAAGATGTGCGAGGGCCCTGCTGCTCCCTACGTCTCCTTTCTCTCCCTGCTGACACCTGGGGCTTTGACCCTTTCTTTTTTAATCTACTTTTGCTAAGATGCATTTAATAAAAAATTTTTAAAAGGTGGGGGGACAGTATACAAACCTATTTCCCTTGCCTCTTGGGCTTCTGGGATGTCATCACCTCCAGTTTGTTGGGTTTGTTTCCAACTGTTAATAAAGCATTGAAACAGTACTTGCCTTACAGCCTCCTGTGTGAATTTCTGAGCCGTTTCTTTTTCTTTTCCCTCTCATCCAGACCCCTCTATGTTGTCCTGCCTCCGATCCCTGGTTGACCTGACAAATCACTGTCAGGAAGTTCAAGCTGTCCATCATGTGCCAGATACTATGGTCGAGGCCTAGAATGATTAACACTTGGTGGCTTCTGCCCCACCATTTGCCTTCCATAGAGGAGCAGGGCCTCAGTTCAGGCCCCCTGCCCTTCCTCATTTTTAAAAATTCAGTTCTATACTCTGGTTTCTCTTCAGATAACATAAAAATTCAGTTCTAGCTCCCCACCTCTCTGTGCCCCCAGATGACCAGTTTTCTGGCAGTACCTGTGCCTCTTGAGGGAAACATCTAACTCCTGTCCCGCCTTGGGTGGCCCCAGACCACATTCTAGACTAGAGGGACTTACACTTGGGTAGAAACCTGAGCCTGCCGAGCAGAGTTCAGAAGCCAGAGGTCATGCTCCAGATGACTTGCTCTAAGTCATACTTGTTTGAGCACGTTGTGACCGGCACAAAGAAACCTTACAATCTATAAGCAGGCCCAGAATAGGCAGGGAGGGGCCTGGAGAGGACCACAAACCCATTTTGGGCAGGCTCTGGAACTGGAAATGAAAGCTTTTTAAATAGCCCTAGAGCCTGGGCAGCTGCCTCCCCAGTAGGGCTGGGGATTTGGGGTGGGCTGCCTGCTTCCTGTTTCCCTACCTCCAGAGGCCAGGCGTTTCTGGCTCAGAGCTATATAGGCACACATACCAATTAGGGGACCAACCGCAGCTGCTCACGCTCTGCCTAGAATAGAACCCAGGCGCCCGGCTCCCCGCCTTCTGCAGCCTGGCTCAGAAACGAAACCCCGCTTACAACTCGGCAACCGCGCACACCACCCTCCCGCCCACGCAGGAAAGTCATCCCCAGATGCTTAGTTGGAAGGCTTGGTTTCCATGACAACAGACTTACGGGGCTGGCAGAACCCATGACCCGGCTCTGAGAGGCTCTGCACAGGAAGCCCAGAGAGCCTCCTTCCTCCGGGTGGTGGGACATACCCTTGCTGACCCTCTTGATAACCCCAGTGGGTCCTTCGCCACCCCCCCCCCCAGGTCTTCCCTCCCTCTTTTCTTGTGGCTGCAGCAACCTCAGAATCCCACTGTGCTTGGAGGAGTCGGGCGGAGGAGGAGGGGAGGAGGGGAGATGGGCGAGCAGACGAGAAAAGCACGGAGGGAGGAGGGAGGGCGATCTGGGGTGGGCTAACTCATTTCCTGCCTGCTCTTTCAGTCCCCTTGACCACCCTCACCCACCCCCGGGCAAGAAAGCGATGAGCCCTCCAATTTCCTTGGCTTTGCAGCGGAGAGACGAGCGGAAGATGAATTCCAAGTGGGGAAATTGAGGCCCCTGGCATTCCCTCCCACTCCCGTGGTGTTCCCAAACCCCCTAGGCAGCGGGGGTGGAGGTGGGCAGGCAAAGGGGAGTCCTCCCTCCTTCCGCGAAGCCTGCTAGGGCTCTGGGGGTGTAATTTAAGCAGAGAAGGGGTGGGCACTGAGGGGATGTTCCCGCCCCCTCTGCAGCGCAGTTTGCCAGGCGCCAACCCGCGTCCGCCCCCCGCGCCGGGGTCTCCTCTTCTGCCTGGAGACTGGCGCTCAGAACCGTAACGGAGACTGCAGCAAGCATCCGGCTGCACACTCAATTGCCACGCCACATCCAAATATCCCCTCCCCCACAACGGACCCACAAGCCGATTACGCACACGGTATACAGATTCACCAGCACATTTAGTCACTCGCACACTATTACATGTACTCAGCGGCGTTGCAAGTACACACAGCCACATTCGACAATCATGCACTGACTCACGGCAATGGCATAAAACCAGGATGCAAACACCATAATCGCCTCCCGACCCGCCCTTCTTCCAGCACCCCTCAGCTCATCACTTCATCCAACCTTGTCAGGAGCCCCCATCTCTTACACAGAAACGTTCAACCTTTCAGAAGAAACCTTTTTATTTATTTTTTTTTCAAAGAAAAAAAGCCATATAAATATTAGAGTATAAAACTTGCGTGAGACATGGGAAAGGGGGGAGAGCTACGTGACTATGCAAAGAGAAGCGCTTATAGAAGTCAGTACCGGGGAGGGGGGTCGCCGCAGTGCGTGGACACAGCACAAAACACAGCACGGGCCGCCGCAGGCAGATTCAAGGACAGACGGCTGCGCGGAGCCCGCCGCCCGCTGCCCACTCGCCATCACGGAAAAGCACACCGCACTACACTATTGGCTATTCTACACCAGCCAAAAGAGGGAAGGGGGTCTCTACACTACTGTAAGGACTAGGGTGGGTTCTCGAGCAGCCCCGCTGGATGAACGGGACTCTGGGGGGCAGAAGTAGGTGGGCACAGGAAGGTTTATGCACAAGGAGGCACTGGGGACTTTAACCAGGCTCTGGCCACTAGGGGGCGGAATAAGGGCCTGGGCAGTGGCCTTCACAGAGAAGAAATGGCACCTGGCAAGGTGAAGGACCAAGGCTCCTGGAATGCTGGGCCCCATGGAGAAGCCTGATCCTGGGCCGAGACTTTCTGTCCACTTGGTCCCTACTCTATTGCCTTGCCTCCCCAATCCAGGGACCAAGAATGGCCTAGCTGGCCCCCTCTTCCTGCTGGGAGTGGGGAGGGCACACTCACTGATCCTTCCACTAGCAGCACCTCTGGAGTACCCAGCACCCAGAGGCCCCTCTGACCTCTCCAGGGAACCTGGTCCCAAACCTGCTCAGACCTTCCTTGGATTGCAATGCCAGTTTCCATCCGTTGGTGCTGGTAGCTCCGCCCAAAGCTGGCCTCTTGGGTGGAGCCCTGTATGTGGTAGATGAGGGTCTAGCCTGGTGCTTGGTTTATGGCTGGAATTTGGGGATCTGGTCAGTATCCTGGGGACATACAGAGCCTCCTGCAAGACCCTGTTAACTGATGGGTCAATATCTGTTCATCCCCCACCCACATACACACCCTTCCCTTCTTTCTCTTACCACCACATACTGTCTTGGAACATGCAATGTAGTCTCTGTTTGGGGAGGAGGCAGTCACAGCATGCAGTGAAAACATCAAACAATGAAAAACAAAACGAAACAAAAAACTGGTCCCTAGAACATTGGGAAGAGGCATGGTAGCAAAATGCCCTCCCTAAATCCAGCAAGCATCAGTACCATGGAATGGTGACCATGTCTCCCAAAACTTGAGCTTGGACTCAGGTTCTGAAGGAGGTGAAGGAACTGACACCAAACCATACTTTGGGGGAAGTTTGAGAAATGAAGGAGCAGCCAAGAGGTAATGATGCCCTTTCAGCTCTTCAGAACTATGAGCTTTTTTAGGTCACCAGGTACCTCCACACCCCAGCCACCTTACTCAAGAAAGAGGAGCTGTTAGAGGAGTGGGGTGGGGTGCCATGGGTAGGCGGGGCAGGGGATGGTTGGGCCTGATTGAATTTGGAAGATGAAGGGATTCAGCTGTAACTAAAGCGGGCATGATAAATGATGTCTACACTAACCCCACTACCCCCATGGGCACAGCAATTGATTGGATAGGGGTTCCCAGCAGAACTCCCTTTGCATATTCAATCCCCTGGGGGCAGAGAGGGGGGTGTTGACTGGGCACTTGTTTCTGTTTCCCAAGGGGAGCATGGCCTGGGCCCCACCAGGATCCTGGGGGTGAGCCCTGAAAATCCCAGTCCCGGGTTCAGGTAGGGAGAGGCTGGGCTGGCTGGGGGGAGGTGGCCAGCTGGCTCTGGGCCTGGCCTCCACATTACTTCTTCTCCTTCTTGCCTGACTTCTTCTTGTTGCCGTTGCCACCTGCAGGGGCCTTGCCATCCCGTTTGCCCGCTGCGTTGGTCAGTGTGGCATTGCTGCCCGGGATGTAGACATTCTGGCGGTAGTCAGGCACGTGCTGCAGGGTGAACTGGGGCCCATAGCGGGCACTCAAGCCCATGGTGCCAGCACCCCCTCCCAGGGTGGAGCTCCCATCAGCGGCTTCTGCAGAGACAGAGGAAAGTCAGGAGTTAAACTTTGGGTCCCCAACAGCCACTCTTTCAAGAAGCAGTTAATGAATACCTGCAAAGCACCCAGCCCTGACCACGCTGAGCACTGGGAAGCCTGTCTCTATCACAAGGGTAGAGGTAAGGGGCTCTGGACTAACAGCCTAGGTTTGAGTCCTAGCTCTTTTACCTGTTCACCTAAGGAAAGGGCTTAAAATATGTTAGCTGTGCTTGGCTGGTGTGGCTCAGTGAATGAGCGGCCAATCGATGTTCTCTCTCATTGGTGTTTCTATCTCTCTCCCTCTCTCTTCCTCTCTAACATCAATAGAGAAAAAAATAATTAAAAAAAAAAATTCTAGCTGTTCTTTCTCTCAGGGCTGAGATTCCGGCTCTCTAATCCTTGCGCTTCTCAAGGGAGCCTCTCTGCTCTCCACACTGGACAGTGGGCTCCTGGGGGCCTTCAACCATGGCTCGTGCACCCTCCTTTCCTTCTCCATCCAGTGCCTGGCACAGAGAAAGCCCTGAGCAGTTCTGCTGTCAGTCAGCAGTGGCTGCTTTTCCAGGCATTCATTTCAGAACAGCAACTGACACCCACTCTGTGCCGAGCACTTGGCTAGATGGTGCGCACTCATGATGGCTTCTGATCTCAGCACAACAGCCGGGTGAGGGATGTGTGTTATCCCCGTGCTACAGACCAGGGAAGGTAGAAGACGAGCCCTCGGCCATACAGCCGGCACAGGTTAGAGCGGGTGAGGCTTGAGTGTATGTAGGTGCGTGGAGGGTACACACCCCCAGCAGCAGCGTGGCCCTCAAACCTGTTCTCAGGTAAAGGGGAGAGAAGACAGGCATGAGCAGTCTCCTGTGAGGCTGAGGAGATGATGATCCTGGGACCAGACAAGCTCACAGTGTCAGAGCCAGGGGACATCAAAGACAATGTCCTACCCAATGTCCCACTGCACAGGCGAAGACACAGGTCCAGGGAAGTACCAGTTCGGGCTCAGCATCCTCTGGGAGCTTGTTAGAAACGCAGACTGAGTCTGCACTTTAACAAGCCCTCCAGGTGATCTGTATTCAGCTACAGGTAGAGAAGCCCGAGGTGGGCTTCGGTGGGGCTTAAATGAGACAGTGCTTCGTCCAGGGCCTTGTGCCCGCCTGGCTCCCGAGTGCCAGCTGCCACTGTGTCCACCACCACAGGGCCACACTGAGCGAGTGCGGACAGGGAAGGAACCGGAAGTTCGGATGGCTTTGGCTGAGTTCCCAAGAGTACTGGAGGTCTCTGGCAGGGGGAGGGTTAAAGCCCAGGCATGCCAGCCCAGCCGCAGCCTGGCTGACCAGGAGCTGTCCCCTCAGCCTCCCTCTGCCCCCACTCCAGACCCTGGGAGTGGGCAGACAGGGTGACTAAAGCTGGAGAGGCTGAGTAATCTTGAGACACCAACCAGGGATTGAGAAACAGAGACAGGAAATATTTTCAAAGACTGGCACCAGAGGAGGGAGGGGCATAAGGGAAGGAAAGGAGGGATGAGCCTGGGTCCTCCGCACTCCAGTGCTCAGGTTTCTCCAGCCTCCATTTCAAGTCCCCAAGGCCTGGATCAGATGGCCTTCCAGGGGAGGGGAAGAGGGGTTGGGAGGGAGGGGGAGCAGCTGCCCACTTCCTTCTCTCCTCTCCTCCCCCCCCACCCTTTCATTGCACTAACATTCCTCTGTTTCCCCTAATTGACTCCAGGAGGGAGCTGGGACCTTGACTGCCAGCCCCCTCCCCTCCCATGTTCCCCCTGCTAGCCTGGGAATGGAGGGGTTGGGGGAGGGGACCAGATCCAGCTTCAAGAGCCAGGATTCAAGAATTCAAGAGTGATTTAAGGCTTCAGAACTCAGGAGAGAGAGAGAGAGAGAGAGAGAGAGAGAGAGAGAGAGAGAGAGAGAGAGAGAGAAACGGAGGAAAAAGGCAAAGACAGAAAGAAAGGAAGAGCTTGACTGGGTAACTGGGAGTCAGGCCCACCCGCATCCTGCATGCAGTCAAGATCTCCGAGGAGCACCCAAATGGGTGAAAACAACAAAGCCAGCCCCTGCCACCTCCTTCCCAGAAGCAGGGGCCTGGTTGGTCTAGGCCCTATCCCTGCAGTAGAGTTGAGCTGAACCAGAAGGGAGAAGAGTATTAACAGAAAGAGGCTGACCCTTCACTCCGTCTGGTCAGCTCTGCCACTAAGGAGCTGTGTGACCTTGACCGAGGTGCTGCATGATCCAGGCCTCAGTTTCCCTGTCTATGAATCTGAGGGGAAGAAGTTGGATTGCAGGCTCTGACCTGTAGAATCAAAGCTCCAGTGGCCCCTCTTTCTACCCCTACAAGACCCACACTGGACAGGCACCAGGCTCTTCTCTTGGTCCAAGAGAAACAGACTTTGAAGAGCAGCAAGAGAACCAGCATCCTCTGGTTTGGAGGAGGTGGATGCGGTGCTGCCTCCTCTGCTGTGCCAGCCTCTCCTGGGGAAACAGCTCCAGGCACATAGCCTCCCCGCCTCCTGCCCTCCCACCCCAGGGCTGGGGCAGCCACTCCAGAGCAGCCCAGGGGGCCTCGACCCCAGCCAGCTGCACTGCAAACCGCAGGCTCCTTGAGAGCACACCTCCTCCCCAGAGTGTTTATTTAAGAAGCCTCCCGAGCGGTCTCCTCTTTCCCTCTAACCCTCAGCAGCTCCAGGCCTGGCTGGGCTGGACTCCAGGAACCTCTCTGGCTCCAGGGCCAGGAAGCGGGTGTGAAAGTGAGAGCAGGGCCTGACCCTGCCACCTCCACCCTCAGGGTCTGCTCCCCAGGGCCCAGGCTCACACAGGTCAGGCCCTGTGTGGGCCAGAGGCGGGGAGCCCTGTGGGGGGGGGGTGGGCTGCCTGCAATGAATGACCCAGGGGGCCTTCTGGGAGGGTTTGGGGCCATAAATACTCCATTTCTGTTTTTAAAATCTGGATTTAGGCTAAAAAGCCTGCTTCTTTGGCCTTTGGACTCAAGGCCACAAGAGCTAAATATACCTGACTGTCTGTTTACTCTCCTCGAGAACCGACTTGGCCTCTCCTCAGACCCAGCTGCCTTCTCGGCGTCTGGCCTCTGCCACTTCTCCCCTCGAAACCACAGTCCTGGCCCTGCTCAGCCTCACAGACATCTGGGGGGAGCCTGCCAGACTTAGCAAACGAAATGCAGGGTGCCCAGTTAGGTACGGATGTCAGGTGACAAGGAGCAACTTTCGAGTGTCGCACGTCCCAGTACTAACGTTTGGGACCTATTTATGCTAAAATATTATTTGCTGTTTATCTGAGGTTAAAATTGAACTGATTACCTTGTATTTTGTCTGGCAACCCTCATCTGGGGGAGCAGTGCAGGGCAGCGAGAGTTCGCCTCTAGACCTATGCAGCTAAAAGGGAAACTGAGGCTGGTCTTAAGGCAGATATGGTCACTATAGCAGAAAGAACATAAACGTGGGGGTTGGGCTGGGTTAGAATCACCCGTCTTCAGCCTCAGAGAAGTGACTTAGTTCTCTTGTCTGTCCAGTGGAAGTCATCAGACCTGCTTTGCAAAGCTGTGGAGACGGTTTGTTGATGTGAGGCCCATAAGCTTTGTCTGACATGTGCCTGGGACAATACACAGGTGTGGTTATGGTGATTACTGTTCCGATTGTACCTGGTTCTCTACCCACCAACCCTCCACGCTGGACTCTCAGTCACTATGTAAGGCCAGTGCCTTAACCCCGCCAGCCTCCACACAAGCCCAGGATTTGTTGCTCCCGAAGCTAGTCCTTATTAATGGGCATTATTCTAATTCTACCTTCGATCTACTCCTATGGTTCAATAAAGAGAATAATTAATCAGTTTTAGCTACTACATATTGTGTCCTTTCTCTCTGTCAATTCTATGCTGAAGTTTATATTAGGCCCTCATAACACTACAATGACAGCTGTTATTACTGTACCCATTTTAGAGTCAGTGAAACCGAGGCCCGGAGGGGCTTAGTAGCTTGCCCGAGGACTCGCAGTTAAACAGGGGTGCCAGAATTGGAATCCATGCTGACCTGCCTCCAAAGCCTGTGCTCTTAAGTATTAATGATATGGTTCTACTTCCCCTGTTTGGGACCCTTATGACTCTTTAGGGACAATAACCATCAACTGAATCGCTATTGCATGTGAAGTTCTTTATGAGTCTCGTGGGAAAACCAAAATCCTGCTGTGAAGGTGGGTCAGCAAAAAAGAGAAGCGGACTCGCATACCCCGAGTCTGTTCTCTCTGCTGGGACTCTCTCCCCCGCCCCATCATGACTGAGGGCGTATGTAACCAGATCCAGTACTTTGTGCTTTGTGGTATCATCTCATTTAATCCTCACAACAGTCCTTTGAGGTCACTGCCCCATTTTCTTGGCTGAGGAAACTGAGGTTTAGAGAGAGTAAGCAAATGGATCAAAGTCACAAAGATTGTAAGTGGCAGCGCTGGGACCAGACTGATGCTGTCCCCTTCCGGAGCCAGACTCTCAGCCACTACTCCCCACATCTCCTCCGCGATCTCTCCTCGATCGCTCCCCTTGGGCCGCCCAGGACTCCCAATCCCTCAGCCATTCCTCAACCTGCGTCCTCTAAATCCATCAGAAGGATTCAGAGAAACCATGCAGGTTGATAGCCAGTCTCAGGCATGGTGGCTGTGGGATGTCCCCGAACCCCGGTCTCCCATCCTAATGCACACACTGGCACAACTCACCGCTGGCGGAGGCCAAGATCATGGCTTGCAGCATCTCTGTGTCAAACTGGTTGTTGGGCCAGGTGCCGGTCTCATCGCCATTTTGGGAGCTGGAGAGAGAGTGGGATGGTGAGCAGTGTCCCAAGTCAGCCCAGCTCATGCCCTTCCTTCCTCTCCCTGGGCTCCCAAATCTGGTTCCCTAGCCACGCCCTATCCCCAAGTCCCGCCCCGTCAGCAAGGTAGGGGGTAATTTATACAGTTCTTCAGAAACCATTTGTCAGTCCCCCAAGTCAGCTCTCAGATCCTGTGGCCTTAGACAGATAGAGCAGGATAAACTGTGACCCCTGCCCCCACGAGAGGGCAGCGCTTACTGTCACAGTGGGGAGATCGAATCTCTCCCCAAGGCAGTGAAGGTGAGGAATAGGAGAGAATGTGTGGGAGCCAGAGAAAGGTGTGAGAACCTAGTGAGAAGGGGGGTGAGGGAGGCAGGAGATCCCAGGAGACCCTGGAACAGGGAGGCTTGCTAAACCCTCAGGATAAAATCCAGGGCACATCAGGGCCCATCCCTGCTAACCCCCAGCCCCTCCCAGACATTCTGCCATCAAACGTTTCCCCAGGCACTTTCCCAATTCCTCAAGCTCTCTCAGAGCGAAGCCTGGGAAGGCTCTGTTCTCTGGAATGCCGGTTCCAGCCTCTGCCTTGGTCAAATAAACAGCTGGTCAGAGGGGATCCCTAAGCCCACCAGGTCCAGCTCCCTGTGGCAAGACTGCCTGCCTGCTTCCAAGTGCAGAACCTATCACACCTGTAGATGCTCTAAGCGCTAAGAAAAGCACGGAGTGATTCATAACTGTGAAAAATGCTAATGTAAGAGACTTTAGAAATTTCAACCCAACCTGGGTTTTCCCCATGGTGATTATTTCCATGCTTTTTTTTTTGGAATTTTCAAGGATCGAGTCATTTCCGTTTTTGCGGAGGGGGAAGCACCCTATTAGGTGTCCCTTGGCACCATCAGGCACACGGAAGTTCCTCGATAAATATTTGTTGCCTGAATGAATGGGAAAAGGCCATGGAGATTGTGAGGTCACTGTGAGAATTTGGCACCAGGGGAGGGGAGAACTTGAGGGCGTGAGTGTGTGTGAGTGTGTGTGTGTGTGTTTGGATATATAGAGAGATAAAACAAATGTGCAAAATATTAACAAATGATGAATCTAGGTAAAAAGAGTATTCAGATGTTCATTATATTATTCTTTTAATTTTTCGATAGGTCTGAAACATTTCAAAGTAAAAAATTGAGGGGTCAGATTAAGTTGTCTGGGAAAAGGGGTGTTTGGAGAGAGCTTCCTGGGCGGAGGGAGTAAGCTGCCTGGGGCTGGGAGACACTGGGCAAGTTTAAAGGACTAAGGAAAATCCAGTGTGGCCGCCACAAGGGGAGGTGGTGTCAGGGGCTGAGCCTGCAGATGGGACATTAAAGATTTTGGTCTCGCCCAACCGGTGTGGCTCAGTGTTTGAGCAACAACCCATGCACCATGAAGTCGCTGGTTCGATTCCCAGTCAGGGCACATGTCCAAGTTGTGGGCCAAATCCCCAGTGGGGGGCATATAGGAGGCAGCCAATCAATGTTCTCTCTCATCAATGTTTCCATTTCTCTCTCCCTCTTCCTTCCTCTCCCTCTAAATTCAATAAAGAAAAAAAAAAAAAGATTTTGTTTTCATCCTGAGAACTCTGGGAAGCCACTGAGGTGTTGTCAGGATCTCATTAAAATAGTCAACGACCACTCTTGCTCCTGTGGGAGGACTGAGGGTCAGGGTTACCTCTGTGAGGACAAGAACCCAGTGAGGGGGCCTCAGTCACCTCTGTCTTCACAAGACCGAGTTCTCTGTGGGCTGGCCCAAGGGTGCAGGGTTCAGGCAGGTGGGCTCAGGCCTAGATGAAGGGCCCAATGAGGTCAGAATGGGGACAGCAGTTGGGGGGGGGGGGGGCTGAGAAGAGCTTTGGGGCTGTGAGGTAGATAACAGGTCAGATACCAGGTCCAGAGGACGCCCTGTGGAGGTGGGCAATGGTGTTGAGGGAATAAAGGTAAGTGGAAGGGGGGTGGGCGGGGCTGCAAGGAGGATTCTAGGGAAACAGTTGAAGGTTGGAGGCCAAGCCCCTGGGCAGGCTGCCAGCTCTTTGAAGCTGGGCAGATGAGTGGAGTGGGAGAGACTTCTTTGGGAACCATTTCCCGAGAGCTTCCTACTTCTGGACACTGGGTCGACTATATATATAACATATAGTTTATTTCAGCCTCAGAACCACCTGCAGATAAGTGTTATGATTATCCCTATTTTCCCACAGATGAAATCAGGGCTCCGAGAGGTTGAGAAACTTTCCCAAAGTCACACAGCTGGTAACTGGCAGAGCTGCGACCGGAAATAGGCCTAATGTGACTTCAAAGCCTATGGCCTTATACACAGTAACGTTCTGGGCTTCAGCTTCAGCAGGGAGGGCCTGGACCCCAGCAGTAGGTATAGGGGACTCTTCCAGGATTTGGAAAACAATGAAAAATAAAAATGGAGGAGAGAGACTGACCATTTCCCAAGCATCCACTATGTGTCTATGGCTTTGACAGGCACTAGGAATTAAGAGATGACAGATACAGTCCATGTAAGGAGCTTGTATTGGGGGTGCTGGGTGTGTTGGGGAACATCTCAGAGGCTGGGCTTTGATAAAACGCTTCCTGAATCAGGCTCAAAAAGAGAAGAAATCTGGGCAAGTCACCCCTGACAACAGCCTGGATTTACCTGATAAAATGTAAATGCATGTATATACTTTCAAATATCAGCATTTTAAAATATACATATATAGGGTTGGGCAAAAGTAGATTTACAGTTGTTTGTATGGAAATAACACAATAACTACTAACTGATAATATGGGAATAAACTCTGTTTCACGAACTCACTCACATCTGTAAACCTACCTTTGTCCACCCCATATGTGGGGCTATTATGCAATAATTAAATGACTTTTCAAAAAATTTTTATAGACAGAGGGGGATTTTTGTGATATGTTGCAATTTTTGTGATATGTTGCAAAGACCAAAAAAAGCTACAATACTAATGAATAGTATAAACTCAATTACTACGAAGAAAAATAAACTGGTGAGAAATATACCAGTTTACTGGGACTGAAAGTCCTCAGTATTCTGTGAACAAATTCATAAACAATTTGCTTAAGTTAAGACCTGAGTTTTTTTTAAAGAGGAGCCTATGCATGTTGCTGGACTGCACAGAGAAAAGGGGTCAGATAGAGACATAGCATCACAAGAGCTAAAGAAAGTGGAGATACTCAACCAAATACAAAATAGATAAGCATGCAAGCAAATTCACCAAGAGAAAGATATAACTAGGAAAATTTGAATACAGACTGGATATTTGGTGATATTCGTTTATTAGTATTACTTATTACTAATGTATTAATTTTAGTTTGTTGATATTATTTTTACATGTTTTTTTTTCCTTTATTGATTTTAGAGAGATTGGAAGGGAGAGGGAGAGAGAGATAGAAACATTGATGAGAGAGAACATCGATTGGCCGCCTCCTGGATGCCCCCCACTGGGGATCAGGCCCACAGCCTGGGCATGTGTCCTGACTGGGAATGGAACTGGCGACCTCTTGGTGCATGGGCCGTCGCTCAACCACTGAGCCACACCGACCGGGCTAGTGTTAACATGTTTATTATTATTATTATTATTTTTTTATCCTCACCCGAGGACATTTTTTGATATTTTGTTCAGATAGAGTGGGAGGGAGACAGAGAGAAACATCGATGTGAAAGGGACACATTGAGTGGCTGCCACCCACACGACCCAACCAGGGCCGGGGACAAACTACAACCGAAGTACGTGCCCTTAGCGGGAACCGAACCCGGGTCTCTCTGGACCACAGGCCGACGCTCTAACCGCTGAGCCAAACCGGCCAGGGCTACGTGTTTTTTGAATTGTCTACTGAAGATAGTGAAGACTGAGGTAAAACAGTATCATGGCTGAAATTTTTCAAAATAAGTCAAGAGAGGGTGGGGGTGAGATAGAAGTAAAACAAGATAGGGAATTAGTTGCAGCTGAATAGTGGGATCATAGAGGTTTATTTTATTGTCCTCAATTTTTGTATAGATTTGAAATTTTCCATATTAAAAAAATGTTAGTGGTGGTTTCCCTGGGTTGTGAAAGTACGCGTACTTTTAAATTTTGTTCTCTATTTCTCATGTTTCTATAATTAACATGTATTATTTTAAAAACAGGAAAAAAAAGTTGCTGTGGAGGGAGAGCAGGGATCCTGTCTCTCAGAGGAGGTGGGCAGAGGGAAGGTAGTGTGCAACCGTCAAACAGAACGGAGTGGGGAGCAGGGGATGCTGAATGGAGACTGTCTCCTCTGTGCAGAGGCTGGGAACAGCTGCAGGGTGGGGCCTGGTTACAGCCTGAGAAGGGAAAACTGGCCTGCAGGATTCAGACCTTGAGACAACAGCTGTTGGGATCAGAAGCCAAAAGGATGACCTGAGAAGGGACAGTGGTGGGGAGGAGGTGCACCTGGCAAGCAAGAGCTTCAGAACTTGAGTCTTTTCCCCTTTTGTCTAGGCAACGTGACCCATGCTGGTTTGAACTTTAACTAGATTTACTGAAGAACTCAACACGAGCACTATTTTGAACCTAGTGTGCCAGTAGCCAAGATGTTGGGGTAGGAGGGGGCAGAAAGGCAGTGGAGGGCTGGAACCAGGGTTAGACTGAATAAGAGAAATCTTTCCTCATGAAGCCCTCACTCCAATTTATTCATCAGAATGGCAGCACACACAAAAAAAACTCCCTGTCATTCTGTTGATCCTGCGATACCTCACCACAGGACCTTTGCATATGCTCTTCCCTCTACCTGATATGTTCTTAACTGGTTCCTTCAGCTGGTTACTTTGTATTCATCCTTCAGATCCCAACACAGCCTCATTTCATTCTGGCCATTCTCCTGCTCCCTGACCAGGTCAAATCTTTATTTTATGCTCTCACTACCAGGTACTCTCTTCATAGTACTCATGATAGCTGTGATCTTACATTTATTTTTTGTGTGATTATTTGGTTAATATTTGTCTCCCTCAACATTGTAAACTCCTGAGGACAGGGAATATATATATATATATTTTAAATGGTTTCATTGATTTTTTAGAGAGAGAGGAAGGGAGAGGGAGATAGAAACATTGATGTGAGAGAGAAACACCCATTGGCTGCCTCCTGAACGCCCCCTACTGGGGATGGAGCCTGCAACCTGGGCATGTGCCCTGATCAGGAATCGAACCAGGACCTCTCAGTCCATGGGACAACACTCAATCTACTGAGTCACACCAGTTGGGCTCTTTTTATATTTTTTATGTACCTAGAATACTACCTGGCCTACAGTAGTAGGTCTTACTGTTTACTGAATGAAGAAGGAAAGTTGCAGTTGTTGGACTGGGCCCCTAACACTTATTTCATCTGGGCCACTTTGGATCAAAACCGTTTGTCCCATCCCGCTCCAGTGAAGGATAGGAGAGCTCCTGAGCCTTCTCCAGCTCCCCGAGAACTCCCGCATGTATTTCAGGCCACCCAGTCTCTCAGTTGAGTGGGGGTACGGTGCTCAGCCCTGAGCAATCAGTGGGGCTTCCAGCTTCAGCAGTGACTTCTGCTTCTGGGCTAGCACATGGCCTGGGTGGGGGCGGGGGAGGGGACAGATCGCCCTGTACTTCTTTCTCATCACCTCCGCTCACATGTCACTCCCTCCTGGAGGCCTTCTCTATCCTCCTCCACCACTACACTCACAATATCCTCTTCTCAGAACTTGCTATGGTTTGAAATGACATTTGTGTGTGTGCGATTTGTTGTCAATTTTCTGTCTTCCTTGCTGGCATGAAAAGTTATGAGTTCAAGGATCATGCCTGCTTGTTCACCATTATAGGGTGCTGGCTCATAGCAGATGCTCAATAAATATTTTTTGAATGAATAGATGGATAACTGAATGGATAACCTAATGGCAAGGCCAGTGGGGAAAAGGGCAGGGCAAGGGCAGTCCAGACCATTGGTTGGTTGCCTTCTTAGGGGCCTTCCAGGAAGTGCCTGGAGATCTTGATACAGTGACAGGACTGAACCTGCCCAGGAGCTGGAGCCTCCACCCTACACCAAGGTCTCCTGGGTTCCTGTGGCAGTGAGGGCTCAGTATCTGTAGTGTTTAGGGAAATGTGGGCAGCAAGAGTCTGACCAGTGAGGAGGCAGGGAAGGCAGTCCAAGCTCTGCCTCTCTCTCTCTCCAGGGATCCTTGGATTCCTCCAGGCTCCTGACTTCTAGCAGGGAGGCCTGGCCCAGAGCCCACCCCACTCCCCTCAGACCAACTGAAGGTCTTTCCGCTGAAGTTTCCCTCCTCCCCCACCCACAGGGGGTTCCTGTCTCAGCAGGAATTCATACCAGATTGAAATGAGCAGCTGGGGCAGCCTGGATGGGAGGGTGTGTTGGAAAGCATTGATCAAAGGCTCTGTGTGTGAGGGGCAGGGGGAGGGGGAGAGGTGGGGATGCTTGTGTGTACTGGCTTGCCCACAAGTACAAAGAAATGAGAGACAGACAGGGACACCGAGTAAAAGACAGGATAAAAGAGAGAGATAAATAAAGGGAAACCGAGGAGACTCAGTGAGGCAGAAAGCGACAGAGAACAGACTTAGAGAGATACAGAGGGACAGAGACACAGAGAGGCTGAGAATAGAGAGGAAAGCAGAAATGGTGAGAGACTGGGAAACAAAGACAGGAGACAGGAACACAAGGACACTAGCAAAGGATAAAAGAAGAAGAGGAGAGCAGAGATCAAGGATAGAGACAGGGAGAAAAGGAGAAACAGACTGAGACTAGGAAGTCACATTTATTCATTGATTCCACATTTATTGAGCACCTAAGCTGTGGCAGGTGCAGAGCGAGGCACAGAGCAACGCAAGTAGATACAAATGGTATTGACAGAGAGGCAGCAATAAAGACAGAAACTGAGATAGAGACCAAGGAAAGGGGAGAGGTGGAGAATGTAAACTGACATAGAGACTGAGGGAGGCTGCCCAGATAGTAGAGCAGCCGGACAAAAGGCCTGCAGACTGAGAGGGCAGGACCAGTGGGGGCCCCAGTGTGGCCAGGGGGAGGGACAGGACTAGGAAGACCTGCCCAAGAGCTCTCTCTCCTCAGCCCTACCTCCAGCTGTGCTGTCTCCACTTCCCCCACAGCTGCCTGACCTCCCTCCCTCCTCTGCCTCTGCTCTTTCCTGTGGGCTCTGGAGGAGGCTCTGACTCCTGACAGCCCCTCCTCTCCTCCTGCCCCAGGTTCCTCTGCCTGAACCCCAGGTCAGGATGGAGCCCAGCTCAATCCAGAGTGGGGATATAGGCAGTAGATGGGTTAACAAGCTTCCTCTCCACCCAGAGACCACCTTAAAAATCATCTTTTGGTCCCACAGAGCCCTCAAGAGATAGGACAAGTTTCCTATGGTGGAAGAAAGGGAGGGAATGAGTGTGAGAATTGAGCTTCCAAAATAGCCTCTTCCTTCTGGGGTCTGTGTAACAGTCCCTTATACACCAAAACCTCCCTGAAATCTGGAACTGAGGGAAGAAGCCATTCGCAGTGTGCTGAGCCCTCCCCCATCTCCTCCCACGTCATCACTGAGAAAATACCGCAGAGAAGAGGGTGGGCTGAGAGGCAGTCACCTACCCGCTGGTGCCAGGTCTCTGGGCCTGAGAGAAACGCCAGTCCGTGTTGGGTGGGGCTTGCTGTGGAGAAAACAGAGGGAAATGGGCTGAGTACCCTGGATAAGTCAGAATGTCACCTGACCCCTGGGGAGTGCACAGAAGAAACTGGTGTGAGATGGGGGAGGGGTAGACTCATCTTCAAAGACAAAATATACCTCAGGTCTCAGAAGGTACTGGAGACAAAGAGATTAAATAACATTCATCTGACCACAGTGAGCAAACCCAGATTCCTTTGCTAATGAAACAGCCCCTTCCTCCCTGTCCCCAGTCTCAGAATTTCTGAGCTGAGATTCAAGGGCTAAAAGTGTCTTCTGCAAAACCAGGGAGAGGGGTGCAGAGAAGGACCCCAAATGTGGCAGAGGAGGCTTTGAGATAGAATCCCACCAGCCCTAGAAAGAATTTATTCAGCTCCTCAGCTGCAAACAAAGCGTCCTCTGCAGCAAGATGGCTGCTGCTCGGGGTAACCCTTTTCACGCCGGGTTGTGCTGTAATACATTCAGAGGGACACCTCCTTCAGGCCCTTGGCAATCAGGGGTTCCTTCCCACAGATAAATACATTATTAATTTAGGAGTCAAGCCAGACTGGGCCTTTGCAGGGCATCCAAGCCCCAGGACACCTCTCACCCCCATAACTCTGTGCCAGACAATGACTGTGTCTAAGGAGGAGAGAACAAGGCTGCTCTGTCTAGGACAGAAAACTGCTGGATGGAGCCCAGCAGAGATCAAGCTCCCACAGCCTCCAAGGAGAGCCAACCAAGTCTCCAGGGCTCCCAAGGGGGCTAAGCTGTAGCCAGCCCCCACCTGGATGAAGGTGTGGGACTCTGGCCAGCCACTTCACTCCTGAGCCCTCCCAGCCTTTCCTGAGAGCGTGTTATTCCATCACACACTCTCACAGAGCCATATCCTCACCAGTTCTGGGGTGTGCTAATAATTAATTCTCACACTCACTCCCAGGAGCAGAGGAGGTATGAGCATCTCTGATTACACCGGGGAGAAGGAAGACCCATGGCTGCCAAATGACTCACTCTGAGCCTCACAGGTGGCAGTGTTGTGAGCAGAACCCAGAAACTTAGCATCCCATGTGCAACAGGCTTCACCAGCACCAGCCTGGGGGTGCCATGGGCAGGGCACAGGGATGTCCAGCCTCAGCCACTGTATTTGTAGCTATAGCAGAATCTACTTGGTGATGCAGGTGCCCTGACAGATGGGAGGAGAGGAGCTGGGCAAAATTCAAAACCTGCAAAAGGATGCCGGGTCCAAGTTTGTTCAGTTAGAATTGCTCAGGGACAAGGAGCCCCAGAAGGCTTTCTCCACTGGTAAGAACCACCTCAGCTCCAGCCCAGCAGATGCAAACCGTGCCTGCTGTCCTCCAGCAGTCCAGTTTCCTAGTTCTTCTGGTGTTAGGCAGACCTAGGTTAGGTCTTTCTCTATCACTTACCATGAGAACTTGAACAAGTCATTTGATCTCTGTGAAACCCAGTTATGAGGTGGGAATGCTAGTGCCTATCCAACACAAGTGTCGGAAGAGCAAATGAGATGAGGTTCTTAGAGGTGTGTAGTAAGATTCTCTCAATCAGCTACAAGAATCGCATGGGGGCGTTGTTTCAAAATACAATTCTGATTCATTGGGGGCAGGGCGAGGTATAGATATATTCTGAATAAAAACTCCTGGGGTTGTGGCAACATATGCTTTTTACTATTGTTTCCCCATATATGAGGGCACCCTGGCATCTGGGAAGGCCATGGCTCTCCATCAGCCAGGGGAAGAAGGATGTGCCAGTCTCAGATACTTTGGTCACCCCCAAAGCCTACCTAGATCTCTGGACACATTTGTGGTCATGATAGAGCCCAAACTGATCTCTGAGCCAACAGAGCCAGGGTTTGCCAGGCTCCTACTTCCATCGAGTGGACGGGGCGGGGGGGTGGGAACTGAGGTCCCAGGCCTGCTCACTCACCCTAGGCCGGGCCCTGCCACCCCTCGAACCCAAGGGCAGCTCCGCCCACCTGGCCAAAGCTTCTGGGCAGGAGGCACCTCTGTTCTCCACTCAGAGTCCCGGCCCAGCGGGACCCGGATTCACTCCCGCGCTCTGCGTGCCTCAACCTAGCTTCAGGCCCACCCGGGGGCGAGTGGTCCGCCCGGGACAGGGGTGGGAGGAGGCTCCCGAGGCCAGGGCTCTGGAGGGCCACGACCTGGAACTGTCACCTGGGTGCGCAGTCAGCGGTGAGTACCTCTGAGGCCCATAGCAGGGGGAGGGGGCGCAGGGACAGCCCTTGCGTGTGACCTGGCGGCTAGGCGGGCAGTGAAAGGGGGCGTGTGTGCAGGTGAGGCGGAGCGGGCCTTGCGCTGTGGCCCTTGGATGTGTCTTGCCGGAAGGACATGCGGGAGCCCTGCGCACGCGCCTGTCCTGTCTACAAACGCGCTTGTTTGATGGGGGAATAAAGAGGTTTGAGAATAACAGCGAAGTCCTAGATCCAGGGAGTTGGGAGAAACCTAAGAGGAAGCCTAAAGAGCAGCAGAGCGTGCCGGCGCCGGAGCCTCGGAGGCTGGCAGTGGGCGTGGATCTGTGACTGCCTCCACCGACCCCGGCAGAAATCGCTGGCCCCAGCCTTTTCTGAGTTTTGGGGTCGGGGTCGATTCTATCCCCCTGGGACACAATCACCACCACCTCCCGGGGCTCAGAGCCCCATCCCTGTTTGGCCACACCTCTGGTCCCGCGCAATCAGTCCAACCGGTCCCGACAATCGACAATCGGGTGAAGCGCGGCTAGCAGCCGAGCTGCGCGCGAGAGTAGAGGCAAGTTCAAGGTCCCTGTGTGGATGGGCGGCCTTTCCACTGCCGGCCCCAGGGGTCGCGCCGAGCCCTCACCTGGCTCCGCTCCCGCAGCGTGTTAGAGAGGGATCGGAAGGCATCAGGCTCCAGCGCCAAAGCTGAGGGCTGCTGGACGCTGAGGGGCCTGAGAAACGTGAAGTCACTGCCATCCGAGGCTGGTGAAAAGCACGTCCTGTAGCAATGGCTCTGCGAGTCTGCGGGCCGCAGCGTCACCTCCATGTACTTGAGCGTGCCGTCTGAGCTCACCTGCAGGTTGGGGCTGGACTGCTTATAGTAGTCCCGGGAGGGTGAGTCCTGGCGCCTGCAACACTGGCCCCCACCCCCATCCCCATCTGCATGTCCCCGAAGACACTTAGCTGACAGGAAAGTGAAGGTGACTAAAGATAACAGACTGATGGCTGCAAGAGCCACAATGAGGTAAAGGGTAAGGTCTGAACGCTCAGGAGGGTGTGTGAGGAAGTCCCTGGATTTGGGCATTTCCTCAGGGTCCTCATCCTCCAGAACAAGCAGCACTGTGGCTGTAGAGGAGAGTGAAGGGTCACCATTGTCCCTCACCAGGACCACCACCTGCTGGGTTTCAGAGTCATCCTCCAGTAAGGCCCGGGCCGTGCGCACCTCACCGGTGTGTGCAGACACTAGGAACAGTCCTGGGGCTGTGGACTGTGGCAACAGTGAGTAAGAGAGCCAGGCATTGTGGCCTGCATCTGCATCCACGGCTGTCACCTTGGTGACCAAGGAGCCAGGAGGTGCAGAGCGAGGGAGACGCTGGGGGACTGAGAGTTCCCAGCTGGGTCTTGGGTGCAGCACAGCTGGGGCATTATCATTCTGGTCCAGGACAAACACATGCAGAGATGTGTTGGTATGCAGTGGGGGAGAGCCAGAGTCTCGCACCCCCACCACAATCTGCATCATCTGAAGCAATTCATAGTCAAAGGTACGCTGGGCAAAGACCCGCCCATCCTCAGGGTTGACATACACAAAGGAGGAGGCTGGGGCTCCCTGAATCAGACTCCCTACAATGGAGTAGGTGAGACGGGCATTATCTCCAGTGTCTGGATCAAAGGCAGCCACAGTGCAGAGAAGGGAGCCTGGAGGCCGGTTTTCTGGGATGTAAGCAGTATAGAGCTGCTGGGTGAAGTAGGGAGCATTGTCATTAACATCTGAAATGTTGAGCCTGATGGTGAGAGGTGCATGCAGGGGAGGTGAGCCTGCATCACTGGCCAGCAGCTCAATGATGTAGTGGGATGTGGCCTCACGGTCCAAGGGCTGGCTGGTTAGCAGTGAGTAGTGGTTCTCAGAGGGCATAATCTGAAATGGCAGGTCTGGAGAGATATCAAGGCTCACTTCACCATTTCTCCCTGAGTCTCGGTCCCGCACATTAAACAATCCCACTACTGTGCCCACTGGTGTGTTTTCCAGGACAGGGTTGACCAATGAGGCCATTAGTACCTCTGGAGCATTGTCATTGGCATCCCCCACATCCACTTGAATCACACAGTGGCCTTCCATGGCTGGCTGTCCCTGGTCACGGGCCCTTGCATGAATTTCATAGAAACGTGACTCCTCAAAGTCTATGGGACCCAACACACGGATTGCTCCACTGCTAGGATCTAGGCCAAAGAGATTCCGCACTGCCTCAGAAGTATGGTCTCCAAAAGAATAGTCTAGTTGGCCATTGGTGCCTTCGTCCAGATCAGTGGCATTGAGGCGGAGCAGCAGTGTACCCATGGGTGCATTCTCAGTGAGTCCCACACGAAGAACTGAAGACTGGAAGGTTGGAGCATTATCATTGATGTCCAGCACAGTGACAGAGATAAGGGTGGTCCCGGAGCGGGCTGGGACACCCCCATCCACAGCAGTGAGCACCAACTGATGTTTTGCCTGAGCTTCCCGGTCCAGCTGCTGCTCTAGCACCAGCTCTGGGAACAGCTTCCCATCTTTTAGGGTCTTCACATTCAAAGTGAAGTGGTTGTTGGGGCTCAGGGTGTAGAAGCTCACAGTATTGGTGCCCACATCTGGATCCTGGGCACTATCCAGTGGGAATCGTGCCCCAAATGCAGCTGATTCTGAGATGCGTATTTCTCGCTCAGGGATGGCAAAGCTAGGAGAGTTGTCATTGAGATCCAGGATCTCTACCTCTACACGGCTTAGTTCCAGTGGGTGTTCGGTCACCACCTGCACTGGCAACAGG